TCTCCCATGTAGGTTGCCTGGCATTTACTGAGGGTAGAATTTGCTCTGTTCTTTCCTTCAGTGAGAGCACGTGAAGTGTTCTGTCTTGTCTGTCCATCTGTTTTTTTCCTCAAAGCTTCTGGAAATTTAAATTTTCCAGTATCCTCTTTTAGCATTCATACCCATTCAACAGTTTCAGCCAAGTTTATTTTGGGAGAAATGGTTGGTGATGACTTTTTTTTATTATTATTATTATTATTTAAAAATAAAAGTTAAAGTTGTGACTGTATATTGTTTATTTGGTCCCATCTCTGGAGTATTTTAGTGCTTCATCATCTGTAAAGCATTGATCATCATAACTCACACTCATCATAGGTAGCAAAAAGAGGCTAAAGATGGGCCAAGGAGCACACCCAACTGCTTTGTTTCATTGGGTATTAATGCTGGTGGGCTTTTGGCACTGGAAGTGGTGTGGATGCGTGTAGTTGTACGATGGCTTCTGAAGTCTCAAAGCATTAAATGAACGAGGGTTAGGTGTGTTTGCCTCCTGCATTGGTCAGGGCATGGCTTTCTGCTTATCCTGTTAGAAAGACTCAAGATCCAGAAGGGACGGAGAGTTGTTTGTGAACTCTTTCTGCTGAAGGACATGACTTCTGAGACTAGCTGATGTTCTTTTTGTTCTTCTCCATGGGAGTTAGGGACTTTTCTCACAAAATCAAATCCAATCTTAGGACCAGGATGGACATCTCTACCTGCATTATTGTCTATATAGTGTCATTTAAAGGGAACTTTAAAAAAGAAAAATCCACTGCAGATTGGATTGTGTGACTTCATGTTCCATCTGTTGGCTTTAAATCTTCACTGCTTAATGTGAAGAGTGTTTTGCTACTCTACTGAGTCTTCTCATGGTGGGGTCTTGTGGAGTCACTCTTCCTCAGTCAGCCCTTCCCCATTAGATTAGCAAAGAAACATTAAATACCTAGTCTCTGATCGTGAAGTGCCTTTCCCATCAAGTATCGCTGTAACTGTGCTTTGAACCTTTCTCTGTTCTACAGCTTCTCCTATTCCATGTTCCTCCTGCAGTGCTTTCAATTAGCTTGTTCAAATACTGTGCATTTCCCTACGGCCCTTGTTCCAGTCGTGCTGTAATGACAGTTCTCATTATTTGACATTGTGTAGATGTGTGCCACCTGCCAGCTTTCTAAACAATTATATTTTCTCTCAATTTATTAAAAAAATACTACATAATGATGAGTTCAGCACTGACTCTTGTTATTTGTTGCTCAAAAACCAGTTTACATCAAGCCACTTTTACTGAAAGACAGCTCAGATGGAGGGCTGGAGCAGCCCTTTCCCAAAGAGGTACCAAGGGATCGGATTTCAAAGGGAAAATGAGGTAGTCTGCTCACTCACGAAATTCAACAGTGTTGCAGAATTACTGTGCTGATGCAAATTTCCTATTTAAACACACAGAAAAAGTTGCATTTTCAAAAGTAGTTTGATTAGTGAAAAGTTTGGAGGGTTAGGTTATAAAAGGGGTAGAAGATTTTGACAAAAGCTACAGAGTGAGTGACAGGTTTCATATTTCAAGTGCTACTACAGCCGAGGGTTAGTATAGTATGTCTTCTTCTGCCTGAGGCCTCGGGTTCTCGACTGAGGTAATACAGGTAATAAGGTAATACTAAGGCTTTATTACTTGGTTGATAACTCAGTCCACTTGACTAGGTCCAGTTAATTATATCCCTTCAAAGCGCTATCACAAGAATCTGTTTCGGAAGGTCCGTGTGATTAAAATTCCCTTGGCAAGGGAGTGATGAGAAAAAGTATCTTTATAGTTGATACGATTTTTTTACTCAGTCTGTTTTAATATATGCACTTTGCTTTGTCATCCCAAATAGTTTCATTTGTTCGTAACAGCATGTTTTCACTTTGGAAAATCTGGGTGAGAATTCACTGGTGGTTGTAAATCATCCAACAGAGACTCCTTATGGGGAGAAAGGTCTGATCAAAGCTGAAAATCTGCTGCTTGGAAAGGAGGGGAAACCTGTTGCTGTAGATTACTATAGGTACTCTGAAATTTAATTTAGGTGTTAGAATATCTTTCTGGCCTAGAGCTGGCTAGAAATAGCAAAGCAATACTGTCATTTTCTGGATCTAGTTACTAGTTGGTTTATTTCTACGCAGAGTTTCACTTACCTCTGTTCTTTCATATTTTATCTTTATGTGTTATTTGGTTTGTTCTTAAATAAAAACAAAAACATTCTTCCAGGTTTTTACAGTTTCAGAGATCTGGAGACACAACCTTCCAGATTGTCAGTACTGGGTGCCTGAAACTGTCTCTGCTGTCAGGTGTGTTGATTCCTTTAGCAACTGGTTTTTATTAGTTTTTTATTTTTAACAGTAAGATCTCAGAGAAAATCCTTTCTTCTGATTTCTTCACTCCTGCCCAGGACATGAGCTGTTGTTGACACTTTAAAGTATTTAAGCATCATGGCTATAGACAGTACCACTATTTTAAGTATTATTTCACTGATATGTGTCTGTGAATTGGAAAACTGGGAGCCACCACTCCCCAGGATATGTTAATAGTCGCCTTGTTGCACCTTCTGGTTTGGCACAAGAGTAATCTATTTGAGAGCAATATAGTCTTTTTTTATTATTATTTTTATTCAAATATATTACTAGGTGTTTTATTCAGTGTTTGTAAGAATTCATGGGATCCATTTAACTCTTTTTGTTGCTTGCAAAGTTAAAAACTCTGTGCTTTATTCATGGCATTGACTGTCACAAAGCTAGGCTCTATTTTTAGTTCCAGCTAAATGAAAAGCAAAACAAAGTCTGCTGTTTCTTCTTTCCTTTTGGGGTTGATATTTCATCATTTTTACATTCCTTTTAGAGTTTTCCTCTGCTCCATTGCCATTTGTTTTCACTAATTTCATTAAAATCTCTGCAGTAGCTCTTCATGGGAGTTTATTGTTGTGTTTTTGGTAAATTCCTAAAAATCTGTGTTTTGTAAGTTTCAGTGGAAGAAACTGCTGAAGGGGACGAGGGTAGTGTTTTAGTTGAGAGTGTTTCTAAAGGCTGCAGCAGCACAACAAATTATGATGTGATGGTTTTCTTCTATTTTTTTTTTATTATTTAATGTTGTTTTAAAACCAGATATGGCAGCTGTGAAAATTTTTACAGACTGTTGTCTGGATGGTATGTTTTCTTGTGACTTACTGAACTTTTTCAGGCAATTTTTTTGATAGTACAACAAATTCATCCCGTCCTATCCTGGAAGCCTGCCTTGAGTCCATTGTAATCTTTCTCTCTTTTTTCCTTAGGAAATTTGCTACAAGACCCTATTGCTCCTACCAACTCCACATGTCAGCATTATGTCTGCAAAACTTGTAAAGGCAAGAAGATGATGATGAAACCCTCATGTAGCTGGTGCAAGGACTACGAACAGTTTGAGGAGAATAAGCAGCTAAGCATCTTAGTGAACTGCTATAAGAAACTCTGCGAATACATAACGCAAACTCCACTGGCACGAGATATTATCCAAGCCGTTGATTGTTCTGCAGATCTTTTGGCTTTGCTCAAAGATGGATCACCACTCCACGAAGAGACGGAAAAATCTTCCGATACAGCCTTGGCTTTGTGTTTGACACATTCCCCCGTACCTTCAACCTCAGAACTCACAACTGATCCTCCAGCTAGTTTTACATCAATACCTGAAAGCACACACAACATTGATATTAGAGGTTCTGTTATCAACGGGTTGCCCAATTGTAATGGGCTTTCGGTAGATAAACTTGGAGTGAATATTCCTTCTCCTGAACACGCAAACACAATTGATGTCTGTAGTACTGGAGAGTATATAAAAACTGAAGATATCTCTAGCAGCCTGCAGCCTGTGTGTGATACAGTTTCTACTAGTGACTTGTGTACGACAGGCATCGACATCTGCAGTTTCAGTGAAGATATAAAACCAGGTGGCTCGCTTCTCCTTAGTGTTGAGGAAGTTCTCCGGAGCTTAGAGACCGTTTCAAATACTGAAGTCTGTGATTCTAATTTGCAGCCCAGCTTGGAAGCAAACATGACTAATGGCCCTTTCCTGCAGCTTTCTCCCCCACCTCTTAGCCATAACATTTTCATGTCCACAGATGCTTCTCCTCACGGAATCTCCTGTACAGCGGCGACGCCTAAGGTAGTTAAGTTAAACAGAAAGCGATCTCGATCAGAAAGCGACAGTGAAAAGGTTCAACCTCTACCCATTTCCAGCATCATCTGTGGCCCAACATTGGGAGCATCAGCTCCTGTAACAGTGAAACAGGAAAATAAAATGTCTTTGCAGCCTATTGCAACTGTACCTAACGGAGGCACTACTCCCAAAATAAGTAAAACTGTGCTCCTGTCTAACAAAAGCATGAAAAAGAATTTAGAACATGCCCCTAAGAAATCTCACCCGAAAGCCAAACCAGGGGTGCTGAAAACAAAAGACAAAGCAAAGGAGAAAGTTCCTAGCAGTAACGTTATGCCAGGAAGCCCAACAAAAACTGTGTATAAAAAGCCACAAGAAAAGAAAGGGTGTAAATGTGGTCGTGCCACCCAAAATCCAAGTGTTCTTACATGCCGTGGCCAACGCTGCCCTTGCTATTCTAACCGCAAAGCCTGCCTTGACTGCATATGCCGTGGCTGCCAAAACTCATACATGGCTAATGGGGAGAAGAAGCTGGAGGCATTTGCAGTGCCAGAAAAGGCCTTGGAGCAGACTCGGCTTACTTTGGGCATTAATGTGACAAGCATTGCGGTGCGCAATGCCAGCACAAGCACCAGTGTAATCAATGTGACAGGGTCACCAGTAACTACGTTTTTAGCTGCCAGTACACACGATGATAAAAGTTTGGATGAAGCTATAGACATGAGATATGACTGTTGAATCTTTCTTTCTTTTCCCTGCCGTCAGTAGGGGAACTGCTACAGTTTTAAGGCAGCTATGGTTCTGTTTAACTTGCTGGAGCTCCTGCGTTTAGATCACTTGTATCAAGTGTTTTTCATTGCTATGTTATGTGTATTAGTGTCTGGGAAATAGTTGCAGATAATGGAGGAGTTACCCTAAAACTGTTTTTAGTTCTTACAGCACCTCATAGTTTGAGATCAATTGCTGATGTAAATGATTTTATCACAAGATCTTTGGCAAGGAATTTATTAACCTCATTGTACTTGGTCATGCTTTGTGCTCAGTCAAAGCTTCTGCTTAAATGTAGAAAAGTGGTATCTAGTTAGTCCATCTAAACTGTGCTAGATTATGATGTAGAAAAGTAATTATTGATTAGTTACAGTCACCATTACTAGAAAAATCACCTAATATTCCTGTAGGAAATGCGGCATTGAGCTGGAGAATACAGTTGGAAAAGGGTAGATAATTTCTGATTGTGAGAATTGGTTATCTACTCTATGGAACAGTTTAAAACTAAAAAAGTTTAGTAATATATTGAGAAAGCTAATAGCCCAAAAAGCAGCTCAGTCTCCAGACAAGGGTCAGGAAGATCAGTTGGTTAGATATGAACATCAAACTGCCGACTCAGATACACCGTCCCCGTTAACAACATCATTCATTTTTTTGTTTTCTTGACAATTCCACAGGTCACGTTCCTGATCAGCTATGCCCTCTGTGCCAACTCCGTTTGTTTGACACGTTACTGACTATTTTGGCTGGGGGGAGAAAATTACTTGTACACAAAGAAGGCTCAAGTTTTATTACCACCATTCTCTTCCCCCCCCCCCCCCCCCTCTT